ACCAACAACAACAAAAAAAATTACAGTGCAAAAGAGAAACCCCGATAAAAAAAGTCTAAAAACACGCTAAAAATACCCCAAAACCCAAACCTCTGCTTGGAGAGTAACGTCTGTGTGCTCTTCAAGCAGATCGAGATTCGGGCTTTGGCTAATTTTTGGCGTGTTTTCACTTTTTTTTATCGGACTTTATTGTACTGGTCATGATCTTTTTATTTGTGTCAGCTCAACTGGTATTAGCCTAAACCTCAGCTTAGAGAGTACACTCTGCCCGCTAACGTGTCAGTACCATTGTATACCAACGATTGTAAGATTACAAAGATCAAAGGTATTAAAACTGGCTCAATGTTTGGCGTCGTGACAACCACAATAGGTATTTTACGAGGTTAGCCAATACTATCGTGACTGTATACTTTGCCAGGCACTTGTACCATTTCACCACCCACGCCTGACCAATTATAACGTTATAATTGTATTTGCAGCAACCAAAAGATCTCCTTGGAGATTGGCTACCTCTATTCAAGAGGTCTCTCCACCGAAAACAACAGCTCGTGACGTCATTTTCATGACGAAGAAGAATGCATAAGAAGGGCGTGTCATTCAGGGTTCACGACACACACCAGACAACATGTCGTCCGGACCAGTCGCAGTTTTTGCCGTCCTCCTAGTTCTGGCAGCCCTGTTCTCGGGAGGGGAAGGGTATGGTAGCGGGGCTCCCACGTCTGCATGCACGTCCCAACAGCCGGGCCACACCGGTACCACGGCCCAGACCAGCGCCAGCCCCTACAGCCTGACCGTGTCGTCTTCTCAGTACACCCCGGGGCAGACTCTCACGGGTAGGTACAGTAATATCAGTAGCCTGGATGGATGCCAGACCCATAGCACACTGGACACAAAATATCTCTGTGAGCTCTGTGAGATACTTTGTATCCAGTGTGCTATGGGTCTGGCACCCATGGGAGCCAGACTAGTATAGGGCCGTTAGCCGTTTTCCTTCGGCAGCCAAGAGCCAAGTTCGCCCGCCTATAAACCGTTACAGGGGAGTTTTGGCCGGCCCTAAGTGTGATACTATATAAAGGGATTTTGGCTGCCCGATACTAGTCTGGCTCCCAGTAGTCAGTTCAGTTCATCCTCGTCAAACTGTCATATTTTATATATAGCAAATCATAGGCTTCACACACACACTCTAGTAACGTTATGATGTACGTGTCCTGAACATACTGACAAGAATCAAGTTGAACGATAGTACAGCCTACAGGGATGGTACTAACTATCATGGTAGACATCGTACTAGGTCACTGGTAGGTCCTCGTTGCTATGAAAATACTCCTTCCCAAAATATTCAATGAAACATCCCTTACTTACGCAACTCTTTTATATTAAGCCTCGTGTGCTCCACGGGGTCATGGGGAGCTTCGTTTGTTTCGCATAGCGGATCTCCTCCCGAAAAAAAATCGCCGCTCTAGTCGCTGGTAGCCTCTACCATGCTTCGGGAGGCGACTGGAAAGAGTTGAAATTGGCCAAATAGAGAGATAACATGTCGGGGGGATTAGTCCGCCGAAGCCTGGTAGAGGCTAGCCGCGCGTACAAAGAAAATAAACGCAGCACCGTTCGAAAGCTGCGCAGGAGGTTATGCGACTTAATGGGTGTGGGGGAAGTTCGTAACATTCCTGGGCCGGTATGTGAGCTGTAGTCTTTAAGCTGTGCGTGGTACAGACTTAAATCGCAAGATTTAGTTTGTGGGCGTCTCATTTTAAAGAATAGTCAACCATAGCCGTAGCGTTTCGAGAAGCGTCTTGTATGTATATACTGGCTTCGTACAAGAGGCTACTCGAGTCGCTACGGCTAAGTCAACCATATCACTTTGAAAATTGGCCAGTCCTTTTGATGGTAAGGTAGCGAACCGTATGGTATTCTTCAATCAGAGGTGTCGGTAGGGGGTTTTGGAGTGGCTGATCGAGGAGGACATTTTTTTCTGGGCGGTGTTGAAGTGCATGTCCTCTGTCATGCGTGACAGGAACTTGTGGAGACAGTACATGGTGTCACCTGAAGGATAAACTGAACTGAACTAAACTAAACTGAAATAGGGATGGCCAGGATTTTTAGCGCTGCTCTCCCTCCACGTGGGGCGAACATTGGATAGTGGCGGCCAATGGATACAGGTGGCTAACAGGAAGTCCCCTTGCCCTACCTAATCTGCTTGGAGATTATGGTTTAAGGGGTGTACGTCAATGCACCTAGCCCCTCTTTCATCATCATCGTCAATTCTTGGAAGCACCATTCTGTATCTGTCACGGGAGTAGGCTGCATTGTTCTCCCTTCCGGTATAGTTGCCTACAGACAGACTAAATTTTCCAGACCCACCCCTCCGTTCAACTTAAAATGGACAAAAACACACACATTGAAAACAAAATGCTGAAATGACGACATAGAATGTACTGTAGAAAAAAACATCAAACGGCTCGGAGTCTCCCACGCCAGGTTTTGTGAGCTTTCAACTCACCCGAAAACATTTTGAATCTTCAAAGAGCTACGACCATAGAACATACAGCACATGTACATATCAGTACAAATGAGCCTAGCTACGGTGCACTCTGTGGTATGTACTGATCTTTGGTAAGGTTGCAATCTACCTTGTTGCTTTTGGCGAGGTCACTAGATCTGTTCTTTTGAGAAAAAATGTAAGCTGATTTGATCAGCGTTACCTTGAGTCTGAGCCTGAGGATATGTAAATAGACCATTCTTGCGATAAATTAAACATATAACATGTACTTCTGTTCGTAGATGCATTGTCTGATGTCTTCTTGAGTCACAGAATATGTTCTTTTCAGGATCATATCACATCAAGTCGAGTGAAAATAATTCCCAACCATTGGCATTGATGATATTCTAAAATCTTGCTAGTGATAGATCCTGTTTGAATAAATTAAAAGTGAGTCAGTTTCAAAAGCTGTGCCACATGACCCTTTGTATCAGCACCACTGCAGTATGACACTATCTCTCTTCGTCTTTTCGGTATCAAATGTTTATAATTAGAATTCTCAGTATAACAACTTGAGTACTGCGTGAAAGCAAAACGCGCCAAGTCATGGTGAGAAGTACTGCAAATGAGTCAGCAGTTGTCAAGGTCAAGTTCGAAATTCTCTTGTCACGACACACCAGACGCGTACAGCTGTGTAAGGTCCCGGATGTGGACACTTATGAAAGTCGATCCCGGACTGGTACCAATGTTTAGTAATACACGCTTTGTCTTGTTGCAGTGTCTAACTTAGCAACCGTTAAGTGGATTTTTTTTATTTCGTGCGAAGAAACTGAAGGAGTAAAAATAACTAAAATAAAACCAAAAATACCGTGCTGTGAGTTTAATTTTGTTTGAAGACATAGACTAATTTGTTTTGTTGTGTGTGGTTTTTTTTTATGCATGTTTTAAGACTCGTCACACGATTCCTTGTTTTTGTAGTGCAAATAACAGGAGGAGACTTCCAAGGGTTTCTCATCCAGGCCCGGAAAGTCGGCACCACCGAGGCTGTTGGATTCTTCAGTTCGCTCCCCTCCGGAACCAAGTCCAACGACTGTGACAACGCGGTGGCTTCTGGGACCAACACCGCCACCCACAGCAGCACCGCAACCAAACGCGACCTGGCCCTCACGTGGAGCGCACCGCAGGAACAGGCAGGGCAGGGGACGGTCGAGTTCGTGTAAGCACAAAAATAATACTTTTTTTTATTGAAGAAGCAATACAAAGACAAGGACGAAGTGGGACTGCACTCTAGTTATACACTTATTTTAACAGCCCCGCTTGACACTTAACCTAAATGAATTCTACATGTCTAACAATGAAGTTGTCATTGTCTTTGAAAAACCATTAAATTTTTTCTCTGAAAACCTAAACAATTTTCTGTAAATCTTTCTGTTGTACGTTTGTTCATGTTATCCACTGATCCCCCCCCC